CTATGTATTTTGTACAAAGAAATTTGATAAGTAATACCTATATATATCTATATCTCAATATATAGAAAAAAAATTACTGTGAATATAATTTCTTCTTATCCTTGGACATAAACAAGTTTCATGCCCATTTTCCCAACGGTATCCAAATACTGTAAATAATAAAGAAAGAAATTATTTACATTTTTTAAAGTGGATTTTACTTCCACTTCCCATAAGTTTATATTACAGAACGTTGCTACTTGTGTTATTAGAAATCTCTGAATTCCAATCTATCTATCTCTGTTGTTGTCTTGTCTTTTTTATGCCTCTCTTCTTTCTAAAGATCTGTGCTGTGTGTGCATATGTATCTTTGGTGAAAAAAATGAAATAAAACCTTTCATGTGTTGTTGGTTTTTTTTGTTGTTGTTGTTGTTTCCAACTGTATTTTATAACTCTTGAACAGAATGGAGGGGAGAAGTGAAAATTAATAGAAAATGCAGCCAATTATCTCCTTTATGGAGTGAGCAGGGAGACTAAGTGCCAATCTCATTACCAACAGTATTGAAGATTGACTTTTGAATGTGAAGGAGTTAAGAATCAAAACATGCATCAACAAATATGATTGATGCATGTGTGAGGAAAGGAAAGATACACAGTAATGGCAGCAAAAGGGAAGGAGTTTTCTGGGATCTGATTTTCCAACCCTTTAAAGCAGATGAATTGTATGTAGGTGTTTGTATATGTGTGTATGCATATGTTTAGGCTAGAAGTGTAGACACTGTGAATTATAGGAGCTCTAAAACAGCTGTGTTTTTCCTTCAGAAGAATTTTGCAGTCTACTCAAATCTGTAGCTCTGTGTAAGCATAACAAAGGAACAGTAAAGAGGGTTTATTCATAACTCTTGTTTTTCTTTGCTTGAAAGCTGCTGGTGGGCTGCACTGGCAACAGTTATGGATGTTAACCACATTTTATTGTTGTCTAGCAAGCCACATTAGAAAACATTTCAACTTTGAGAGAAAAACACAACTACAATTCTCTGCTAGTCATGCAGCACAGACTGACAGCATAAAACATAGGTTCACTGTAAGCGTGGGTATGTTATGTGAAACCAAAGGTGAGGCATATCACAGTGAGATAACATTGCACCTCAAAATAGAAATAATAGTTGAAGACCATTGTTCTGATCTGTCTTCAAGGTGTTTCAGCTGGGAAGACTAAATAAAACATACCAAAGAACATGAGACACTTTTGAAAATACACTAAAACCTTTTAAGTGCTGATTACAAGTATGAAGTATGTTGCTGTATTAACGGGACTAAAGAATAAAACTTACAGATTATTTTGCTGTGGCTGTCCTCCAGGACTTGCTGGAATGATTGATCTTATTTTAGAATGCAAAAGAGAATGATTGACGTGACTCATTAAAACCTCAAAGAAATGCAGCTTTTGGAGATAAAACACAGAAAATTAAGGAACATGAAAGCTAAGGTACTTTCAGCATATTTTCAGTAAAGAAGAAACACTCCTACATGCGTAGACCACCTGAGCCAGGAGGCTGCTGCAAAATCCCCAGATCCTGGCCCTTCCAGGCAGCAAGCTTCCAGAGACATCAGTTTGGACTAGTGGATTGGTGCTTCCATACCCCACAAAAGGGAGTCCAGGAATGGTCCCACTTACCTTTGTTCCCTTCTGCGGACATAAGCTCTAGGTTGAACTGGCCCTGAGCGGACTCCTAAAATACCGTGTTTGCCTTCAGAAGTGCCCTGGGCAGTTTCTGTTGACCAAAGGTCACAAGATTGCAGTCTCCCCCATCTCAAGAGCCAGGCAGCCCCTTCATGGGGCCATGGCCTCTGGCTGTGCCTGCTCCCTTTCTTTGGGTAGCTCAGCTTCCTTCAAGCACACATTTCTGCAAACACCCTTGTCTTCTCTGATGGTGGGAAACCCATCTTTCCCTGCAGTTCCCTCACCTAACAACACAGTGGTGGAGCCAGAGCATGCTGAGAGACCCAGCTGCAAGCAGCAGCAAGGAGTCACAAGGGAGTCATTGGTGTGGCCATTGGAGGGGCCCAGCACTGGGTGTCCCAGATTTTGGTGTCCCAGCCAGGCTTATGGGAGGTGGTAAGCTGGGGTGAATACTCAGTGTGAGGAAGCCATAGTATTGTTTATGGTATGAGCTTACAGGCTGTCCCAGTAAAAGCATTGTATCTCGCATGCTCTTCGCATGAGCCTGGTCTGTGGCAGCAATTGGAAGTCAGTAGTCGGGCTGGAAGAGTCTGTAGCCAGCCCAGTGAAGCAGTCCTTGTTCTGACCTTTTCATTTTGCTTTTCTAAAACTATTTTGTCGTTTGGCATTCCCTAGTCTTAAACATAACTTTCTTATGACCATAGTTTTGTACTATTGTAAGAGATCTGTTCCTTCTTTCTAAAAAAATGAATAAAATTTCCAAACAGCAAATTAATTGTTCATATCTTCCCACAGCAATGATGCCTTCTCTTTGAGTTTTGTGGTGTATTGTTAATTAAAAGAATAGCAAATGATGTAAAAGATGTGTCCATAAAAGAGAAATGATAGCTCAAACAGGAGTGTTTTGTTCTAAGGTGTAATGTAACAAAAAAGAAAAAAAGCAGATAAAAGTAGTATTATAATATTCTCTGTGCTTGAATCCATGCAAACTGCAGGGTATGTGTTAGAAATATCAAGGTACAGAAGCTCCATCATCCACAGGAACATATGCTCACAAGCATATTAAAAGGTTTTTGTTGTCTCTACCTGCCTTTAAAAAACAACACTTTCAGTTGCCTAGCTCTCAAGAAGTTTTACATTTGAAGGCCTCCATTCTGAAGCAGTTGCAGCTGAAGCTCATTGGAACAGAGGAAAACTGGTAGGTATTGGCAAGAGTTAATGAAGCTTTGCCAGTCAGCTGGGTTGCAGACCTGCCTGAGTATTTGCTTACTGTTACAGCTAGGTCTCAAAACTTTTAACGTTCTGACATTAAAATAAATTCATGTAAACAGAAAAACAAGGAGAGCTGTATGTACACAGTGGAGCGAGCTACAGCTGAAAGGATTTTGTAGGCCAAAGGGCTTTCCTGTTTCTTAGGAAAGTGAGTGTTAGACATTCAGAGTGAAAGATAAAATACAACTTCAACTTTTTTATTCTTTTCTTTCTGAAGGCTTGGGTGATGATGAATACTCTGCACTAGGACAAATAGCAATCTAGGAAGCCAACTCTAGAGGTCAAATGAAAAAGCTACATGTAAGAGTAGTAAAAGGATTATAAGCAAAGCTTATGTTCTATAAAAAGAGACTTTACTGTTAATAACAATGTGAGAATCTGTATGGATAAAGCCACAGCACTGAGTTTTGTTAATAGCTTTTGTGGTAAGGTATGTAGCTATTTGTGATTCAAGCAGCATGTTTTCATGGTTTCACAAAAACCTAGAGTCTGCTAAATATTCCTCAGTGCTTTCTCTCATTAGCTCTTTCCATATTTATGGACACAGAGCAATTGCAGCAATTTTGCTGCAGCTGATTCTTTTAAAAACCTTTCTGCTTAGCACCACGAATATATTTCCTATAAGAAGCCAAATTGGTCTCAAATCCATAGAATAATGGAGTGTGCTGTCTTGCAAGGCAGCATCATTATCATCATAGGAAGATAAAAAGATATGGATGTTAGCAACAATAAAGTGCATTTATTGACTGCAGTGCTCCGTGTACAGATTGCAGTTATACATAGAAAGCTAAATGTAGATGCCACCAGCTTTTTCTTTTTTGTTCTTTCTTGAAATTTAGTAGATAAACCAGTCTGCCCTCAGTTACCAGTCAGAGTCTCAAGAACCATGGATAAACCTCTTTGTTTCCCCACTCACTTTTTTTTCCTCCTCTCAATTACAGATTTTATTCTTGTAGTGAGATCTAGGGGCTCAAATGCCTTATGTTGGCAAAACACCAAAGAACTGACATAATTTTGACGTATTCTCACATGTGTAGGTAATTGTATGCAGAACAATGCAAAAAAAAACCGAACAAACCAAACCAAAACACCAATGCAAAAGAAAAAACCCTCCAAAGATCTGAGAATTTACAGAAGGAATCAGAGTTTCAGGAAAAAAAAGTTCCATGAAACTTGTCTGTCTTTCAGCCAAGCTGATCTCCTAAGTGGAGTCAACAAAAAGAGGTGGTTAGATACCAGTGTCTCAGGAGTGTGGAGAAAACTGAATGGTTCTGTAGAAGAAGCAAAAACCATGCGCAGGGGCAACTTGGGGCAAATGGAATAAGGGAAGGACTTAGAGCTCAGTGGTGAGCTCAGGAAGAAAAACAAGGGTTAGGGATTGGAGGTAATCCTCTAAAGCAGTGTCTGCCCTTTCTTAGAGAAATTGCCCTGTCAATAAAATGGAAGAAGTTCTCTGTGCAATTTTGTGGTTTTTGTTTCGAGTTTTCTGAAATTTATACGTATAGGCTTATATTTTAAAGCAGAGTTATTAATGATTAAATACACATAAAATTATACTGTCATCTTTTTTAAATCAGTAGTCATTGATTGGCATTGCTTGAAATTTTTTGTTTTCTTACATGTATATGTGCATATATCACTGTTTTTTTGCTGTTTCTTGTCTCTTCTGGAGAACTTGTTAGAAGAGATTTGTTTGGGATTTGACCACAGTGACTCTGACTTTGTAAATAGTTTTTTGAAAAGATATGAAAGGATAAAATTCAGCATAGTCTTACAGTGATATATTGGAGTGCAATTTATGTAGGAGTTTGCAATTTATCCCAGTATCATTGATGTTCAGAATTTAAGCATATGTAGTAATGTACTTGCTACTGGAGTTGGTGTCAGAACAGATTAAAGTTTTGCATATTTTTGGAAAGTAGAAACAGATCTGTGACCTTCAAAGATACTCAGAGTCCCTGTATAGATGATTCAGTGAAATTTGAGCCAAACGAAATGGAATTCTTCACTTACGTGTTGTGCATTGTATCAAGACCCATATTGTAGCACTGGCTTTTTTAACAAGATGGGTGAGTTGTTAATGTTTTTTTTTAAATTTTCATCAGTCTCATAAAGTTGATTAAACAAATAATTGTACACCGAGTGATTCTTCAAGTGAGACTAAAGCATATTTCTACTTGCGCAAAAATCAAAACACTATAGCTGTGCTAAAATGAAACAACTAAGCCCCTCATTTTACGTTTTTGCAAGGCAATACACGTTTTTAATTCCTTATGAGTAGATAAATGTACTGATCTGAGGCTCAGTTTAAACATTAGCAAGTAAAAATACCTAAGAAGTGCATGACTGCATTTGTGTGTGAATGAGTACCCATGCTGTCCTGGCTTCAGCTGGGATGATAGCTGGTATAATGTTGTGTTTTGAATTTAGTATGAAAATAATGCTGATAACACAGAGATGTTTTAGTTATTGCTAAGTAGTGTTTATACTAACTCAAGGACTTTTCAGCCTCTCATGCACTGCCAGGGAGAAGACTGGAGGGGTATAAGAAATACTGTTAATAATTCAGAGGTGTTTAAATTACTGCTGGGCACTGCTTACACAGAGTCAAGGGCTTTTCTGCCTCTCACCCCACCCCACCCGTGAGTAGGCTGGGGGTACACAAAAGGTTGGGAGATGTCACACCCGGGACAGCTGATCCCAACTGACCAAAGGGCTATTCCATATACCAAATGACATCATGCTCAGCATATAAATTCAGGGGAGTTGGCTGGGAGGGGCTGGTTGTTGCTGAGGGTCTGGCTGGGCATTGATTAGCAAGTATTGAACGATTGCATTGTGCATCACTTGTTTTGTATATTTTAATTTTATTATTATTGTTATTATTATTTTCTTCCTTTTCTCTCCCATACAACTGTCTTTAACTCAACCTGCAAGTTTTCTCACTTTTGCTCTACTAATTCTCTTCCCCAGCCCTCTGGAGACAGGGGCAGTGAGTGACTGTCTGTGTGGTGCTTAGTCACTGCCCTGGATTAAACCACAACATGTGTATGTTGAATGTTCTTCTGTAAAACCACGCCTTGTGGAAGAGAAAGAAGAGAATGGAAAGGGAAAGAAGAGGAAGGACCAAACAAAGGAAGGGCAGGAAAAGGAAAATAAAAAGGAGAGGGAGGGAGACATATATAGAGAGAAAGAGAAACAAAATGAAGAAAAGAGAAATTAAGAAAAAAGAAAAAAATACCTAGAAAAAATAAAAAGGAAGGAAAAAAGGAATGAAGGAGTAGAGATGATAAAGAAGAGGGGAAAGGAAAGGAGAGCTGAGAGAAAAAGATGGGAGAAAAGCCCCTTTAATTGTGTCCCTCTATCATCTGATGTGCTTGCAGCCATGTATTCACATACATTTTTCATTAAGTAAGAGCTGCATCTTACTTTGCAAGGTATAGCGCAGGGTGCTGGAGGTTAAGAAGCATCTAGATAGACAAGCTAGATGTAGTCAGAAGGCAAATTTTTAGCTTTCATTCTAACATGGGGTTTATTGTTTTAGACAGAAATAGTTGACATATTTGATTGAGATGTCAATTTCATCACTAGGTTTTGGAACGTCCTCCTCCCTTTACATACTGTGTGGTTTCTGCAAAGACTTCAAACTTTCTCATTCTTGCATCAAAACCTGTGAATGCCTAACTTTTAAAAGACTATTCTTGCCTTATGGGGAGCCAAAGCTTCTAGATAAGTAGCAGGTGCTATTGTCTTAATTTCCTTTTCTTTCAGGCATTGATCTTAGTTGCCTGCTTAATATAATTTGACCTAAGGCTATATGACTAGTTTTATAAACTCTCAGTGTTAAGTCTTTGACAGAAGAAAACTAATATAAATTTTCAGAATCAAGTCTGCCTCCTTGACAGATGTAAAAGAGCATCCTATATCTGTGCTACCATTAGCATAATAAGAAAGCAGCGGATGAAGAAGAAAAATGTGTTTGTATTCTTATATCAAAATTCTATTTACAGATTTTAATTATGCTCACTACTATGGTAATTCTTACCTGGAATTTAAAGGCTTGCATTTGAACATACAAAACTTCATCCGCTTGGAATTTAAAACGTACAATCCACATGGACTCCTCCTGTATACTGAAGAGAGCCCAGAAACAACAGGACATTTTTTAATTCAGCTTTTCATCAAACATGGCAACTTACAGGTAAGGCATCTCCCACTGAAGGAGAATTAAAGCTAGGATCTGTAAAAATGTTTTTTTTTCCTGTTTCCTACTGTAGAAGATGGTAGAGCTAAAGAGAGTCTTGACATTCTTTAGTATTTTAAGGAAAATAGCCATCAAACTTGCTATCTATTACAAGAAATTCATGGCTAATATTATTAATATATCTCACAAGATGTGGTGCTGGAGGAAAATTGAATAGTGATTGTAATTGGAATGTGTCATATAAAAAGTACACATTAAAAGACAAAAAAAAAGAAGGTAGACTTTGTCTTCACAACCAGTATGAATTAAGGTATTTTATTTAGTATCTGAAGCTTAAGCTGACTGAACCTCCTCATGTGCAAGTTCATTAAAATTGTTATAAGGGAAGCTGTGGAACTGAGTTAATTGTCATAAGAAAATTTACTCTAAAAGGGAATAGAGTGTATTTGTTACCATGTGGCTCTGACTAGAAAACTTTTATTTCAGCTATCATGTTAGTACACAGTTTCACAGGATCACAAAAAGTCCCCAAACATTTGCTTGGTTTTAATAGACACACTGAATAGGAATACATTTATTTACAAGCTTTAAGGAATCAAGCCTACTAAAAGAGAAGCTACTTTTCTTATAACGGATCTTCCATTGTCCTGTTAAAAATTTCTGAAAGTTTTGCTGCAATTATATTCTTCTCTAAAAGCCATGAAACGACTGTTAAGAACACCATATTTTAGTTATATTTGCCTTCATGTTTAAAGAGCATGATTGTACTAAAACGGTATATAAATTGCAGATAAACAGTAGGAGAAAAAGCTTTTATTTTATTATATTCTGATTTGCTGTGTTTTATTATGCTTTGACTATCTATTTTGACTAATCTCATTTATTCACAACAAATGGGATTAATCAGGGGCAGGACGTTATCCAAGCTTTAGAAAATGTTGATGGCTTTAGGTCCATCTTACTTGTATTCATGGTAAAGTAATGATGCAGAAAAATATTTTTCTAACATATCATTAGCACCATAAAATATGAAAGTACTTTAATTGACAAAAATCCATTCAGAGATCCCAGTGTGCCATGTTAAAACTAATTGAATTCACTTAATCATTCACAAAGCTGGTCAACTAAATGTAGATTTAAAGCCCTATGAATAAATGGTTCTAAGCTTACAATCAAGCTACAATTACAAGTAGACAAACCATGAAATCAAGTGCTTGTTCACATTAATATAGGAAATTAAATGGTGTTCCAAAATGCTCATGTCTCCATGCTACATTACATGTTTGAAAGTGTAAGGAGACCATAAAATGGTAAGTGAAATCCACCCATGGCCAACGTTAATTTCAGCTGGGTTGCAGATGGTCAACTTCTTTGCAAATCAGGCCTGTAATATGTGATTGTACAAATACACATAGATTGGAGAATTTTCATGCAGGCTAGGAAGCATATATGTGTGCTTGTATATGTTTGGTGCAATAGACTTCCTGATCCAGATCTTTAACCAAACATGATTTTTACTGAATGCACATTTCATCCTTTGGGGTTTTATGAAGCCATTTGTTATTTTTAAATTCAAGTTTTGAGGTCTGTAGCTCTTTAATTACTAGAAATTATATAATAAAAGTGTTTTTCCCACTCTCTAGTACCAGTTTTTATGTGGTGAAGCTGCAAAAGTCAAAAACATCACTACTACTACTAGAGTGGATGATGGACACTGGTATGAAGTGCAAATTAGGTAAGTTTTTCTATCTTACTGTTGTCTGTGTTTCTAATTGCTTCAAAGATCTTCTAAGTTGCATAGTTAGTAAATTCCAGTGATAATGTATCTCATTAACTAGGAGTGATACCTGAACATGTGCAGTAAAATCATGTTATGACAGCGTGGACTACAACCCATACTTGGAAAGAATGTTTAAATCTGTAATACAGTTGGACAATGCTCATCACATCACTGATATGCTTAATGGAAATAAATTTATTCTCACTGCAATCATGTACCATAGCAAATATAAACATTCTCTCAGGGAAGCTACTGTACAGTAAGTCCAGGATAGGTGAAATATATGAATTTCTGTTAATGAGAGTGTAACTAACAGAAAAACCTTGGAAAATATATAAGCAGAAGCAGCACCATGAGTTTGCTGCCGCTGACTTGTAACTCATAAGAGGATATATTACTCCTGCAAAGGTAACAATACTTGCAACTGAAGGAGCATAAAAAGAAAGGAAGAAATGAGGTAGGTAGTAGGTTTTTGTATTGTGCCTTGCTCAGATGTGGCAGTGAGAAGGACCACAGCTTGTTGCTGCATTTCAGCTGTCATCATTGTTATTTTGTTTTTTTTTTTCTAGCATGGTAAACTAGGCTCAAGCTCCAAACCACACAGTGAGTGCAAACTAATACAAGGAACAAAAGTCAATAATTCACAGCAGTTGTGCTTATTACCCAAAAAGTAAACAACATAAAACCAAACCTTGCTAATGGAAGCTAAAAGCAAGCATAAGCTCCTCTCTGACCAAGAAGGAATAGAAGACATCTCTGTGACACTATGAAAGTGTCTAGAATCTTAAATAACATGTGCAGTTCTGTTTATTTCTCTGGTTTTGACACCCTCTCAATATCAAAATGGAGAAAGTGTGATAGGAACTTTATTTCGAGAGGAGATGCAGGGATGATAAAGGCATTAAGCAGCTTCTAAATAATGACTAAACAACCAGGGGACTCTGCAAGTCCATTAAAAATGACTGTGGGAGAATACCAAATTCTCTGAAATCACAAATGACACAGTGGAAGTGTATAAGGACTGGAGACATAAAATTTTTAGTGTGTTAGCTAGTTTAATCTATTACAATCGTATTGTTACTCCTTTGGTGTTAATTTTAAGGAAGATTTAAGATACTGAAAATAACAAATGAATGAATACCAGAACCCTAAATACTGTAGGAGCCTTTGAGAAAAACAACCTTTCCTTAGTGCCAAAGCATGAAAACTCCCATGTCATTGACATTGCTCAGGTAGCACTAGCTACCATGATGTGAGTATTATGCATTTTGCCCCAACTCTACTGAGCAGAAAATAACTTCAATCCGTAAATCACCCTATGGCAATAGCTGGAAAGAAAGCCAGCCCAATTTCTATTTCTGGTGTTCCATTTGAGCCTAAAAAGGAAGGAAGAAAAAAGTATCTTCTTTCATTTGCAGAGAATGGAAATTATTTCAAGACAGCTCAGGTAAGATGAGCCACACTGATTTTTGCTGTTAAAAGAGAAGAAATGTGTACTATTTCTGGGATTCAGGCTAATTAGTAAGCAATTATTAATTAATCACTCTACTCACTTTAGTAGACTGGAAATGGTTTTGGACATTGTTTTAGGATGACACTATGCAGACACTACCAAGTTGGGCAAGAGTGTTGATCTGCTTGAAAGTAGGAAGGCTCTACAGAGGGATCTGAACAGGCTGTTGATGGGCCAAGACCAATTGCATGAGGTTCAACAAGGCTTAGTGCTGGGTCCTGCATTTGGGCCACAAACTCATGCAATGTTATAGGATGGGGAAGAGTGGCTGGAAAGCTGCTGGTGGAAAGGGACCTGGGGGTGTTGATCAACAGCTGGCTGAATATGAGCTGTCAGTGTGCCCAGGTGAAAAAGAAGGCCAATAGCATCCTGGCCTGTATCAGAAATAGCGTAGCCAGCAGGCAGGGCAGTGATCATCCCCCTGTACTGGGCACCGGTGAGGCTGCAACTCAAATCCTGTGTTCAGTTCTGGGCCCCTCACTACAAGAAAGACATTGAGGTGCTGGAGCAGTTACAAAGAAGGGCAACAAAGCTGGTGAAAGGTCAAGAGCATAAGTCTTATGGGGGCTGTTTGAGGGAACTGGGATTATTTAGCCTGGACAGAAGGAGGCTCAGGAGAGACCTCATCACTCTCTACAACTGCCTGAAAAGAGGTTATAGTGAGGTGGATATCAGTCTCTTCTCCCAAGTAACAAACAATAAAACAAGAGAAAATGGTCTCAAGTTGTGCCAGGAGAGGTTTAGGTTGGATATTAGGGAAAACTTCTTCACTGAAAAGGCTGTGAAGCATTGGAACAGGCTACCCAGGGAAGTAGCTGCTGCCATTCCTGGAGGCATTTGAAAGACATATATATGCAGTGCTTGGTTTAGTGGTGGATTTAGTAGTGGTTTGGTTTAGTGGTGGATTTGGCAGTGCTAGGTTAATTATTGGACTCGATGACCTTAAAGGTCTTTTCCAACATAAATGATTTGATGCTTCTAAGATTTAAAGTCTTAATGGCACAGATGTCAGAAGGATTTTGTTAAAGTTGCTTCTTATTTTAATTTTGTGCATCTTCACATGTGCTTAATTAAGAAGATGTATACATTGCATGGAAAAGTATAACTTCTGCTTTACATTTTTTTTCTTTATTAATAAATATATTTTGACAATTATATTTTATAAAGTTACTCTTGAACTATGTCTATTTCTTGGGTTATGAGCATTTAATTTAATCAACTGTAGTATAATATGGCATAGTGAAACTTAAAAATTGCTGTAGCTTACTCAACAGCCGTCTACAGTTTTACAAAGTTTGTTTTATTTTCTCAGAACTGGTTTCCAGTAAGATAAGTTTTGAACAATGTTATCTGGGATGTTGGTGCAGAATGGGTATGTAAGAGCTACTAGATATTTTAACATAGTGGGTATGCATAGTGTGGGATTTTCTTTGTTCTGCAGAAGTGAAGTATTATGAACAGACAAGATGGGTGATGAAAAAAAAACAATATTGTACTAGTTTGTTGAAAGAAAATGCTCATTTTCTTTGCTTAAAGTATTCTTAGTTCTTTGGAGTGCTTTTGACCTTTCCCTGCAATGGAAAGATTTTTGTCTTTCAGATTTACTAACAGCAGTGCACTTCAGCAACTGAATATAAGCCATATGCAAAAAATATACTGCCTCTACAATATTGTATTAAATGAAAGAAATAGACTTAAGAGTATGAGTGCTGTGTAATACAAGTTTGAATACAGTAAAAATTAGGGAGTGATAACATCTTCCTTTTCTGCTTACAGTGGTATATTTTTCTGCTTCCTTTATCCCACAGAAATCATTCCTGGTGTGAATTAAAGAAATTTCACACCTTTTAATGTTTGCAAATAAACGTGCATATTACTGTCAGACACTGCACTGTATCCAGTTCTTATAGTTCACCAGAATGCTCAGGCTGAAAGTAAAATGGCAGCATTGCTGAAGTACAGCAATGTGATGATGGAATATTGTGGCTATAACAATTATAACAATTTAATAAAATTGAATATACTAAGAGGTCTGGATTTGCATCAAAATCTGAGATAAATCGATAATTTTGGATAGGATATAACTTTTTGTCTCAGATTAGTTTTCTAGCACCGGCTGCTAAAAACAACACATTGTCAAGGTTTGTCTCAGAGTAATAGCTAAGAATTCTGGGTTATGTGCAGGCTTGTACAGTTGTTTGCTAAGTCTAGCTATTAATGAAAATCATTGCAGCTGTTTCAGATTTCTGACTGTATCATTTTGAATTTCTTAAGAATCTTTCCAGGGAAGTGAAACAGCAAAAGTGTAAAACAGGTATGGACAATATCACCCAGGGATTAGAGTTCTGTAGGTTATTATGAAGGAAAGGAATTTGTGAAGTTTACATGTTTGGGATGCTCTACCACAATATTCTTATCGCAGCCCTTATAAAACCACCTTCTTTAGTTGCTTTAAGATTTATCTTTTTTGATCTTTGTCATCAAAACAAGTTGATAAAATAGCATGTATTGCAGAAACAGGCCAATCTGTAGCAGAGGTGTTAGAAATTTATCCCTTTTTTTGATTCATTATGCTTCATTTCAACAATTATTTCAGTACTGATGATAATAGTCTCCTTGATTAAAGAGCATTTTTTATTTTATTTTTAATCTCAGATCACAACTGTTGATTTATTTAGCAAATCGATCATATATAAATTGATTGTGCAGTAGATGTCACAAATGCAACTTGTTTCTTTAAAAATGAGTCTATCCCCTTTGACCTTTTTTAATCGACTGTGAGCATTAAGATTACAAAACTGGTATAGATTCTCCATCAGTCTGGAGAACAGCTGCAAAATGTGACAGTTTTCGTTTTTAAGGAGTGCATTATTCTTCTCCTTTAACTCCTAATATCTGTGATTTGAGGTTTGCATTAGTTAACTATAGGACATTTGACGATTGATTGTCTTGGGTTTGTAGATGTTTTCTGATTCCTGTAGTCAGAAAAAGATCCTTCTAATCATGTCATAATGCACCATACGCTCACTCTGGAGCTTGTATATTGCTTGGTTTTGATAGCTTTTAATGAAGGCTTGAGATAATCTATGTGGTAGAAAATATGCTGTATTTATTATCCTTCAGAATATACTACAAAACTTATATTTTCCTTATGGTTTACAGGCAGGTAAGATAAGCAGATCATAGATAAAAAGACTAGAAAAAAGTGCAGATGCTTTTCTGTTTTGTGCTTTGGGGCTTTTTTTTTATTCATTTTATTTTAAATTCCTATTTTTATGTAATTGCAGAGGTGCTAAACGTTGGCCTTCATTTTTAATGTAACAGCATATAGATGAAGTCATCCGTTGTTTCATGCACTGTGTAAATGCCATGTAGTCTACTTAATAAAAATATGCTTAATGGACCATCTTCCCAAAAACCAGTGTAAACTACAAGAAATTAA